ACCGTGGGGCACATGGGTTGGAGCACGAGGAGGCCTTTGCCTTGGAAGCACCCCTGGGATTTAGGGCAGGAGCGGTAATCCGGGTCCAAGTCCTCCCTCCACGCCCAGTTTGGTTCTGGAGCCTCTGCCGAACCCGAGGATGTGCTGTGCCTGGTGATGGGGAAGATAATATGAATAAATAGCAAACAGATCCCCTGCCTTTCTGTGTAAATCCATCCAAGGCCACATACACGACTTAAGAAGGTAAACTGTACGAAGCATCTTTCCCCAGCCTGCCCGCCCGCCCACAGATGCACTGGACTACAGGTTCCATCAACCCTGCCAACATGAATGGGCATTGAACTGCAATGGGGCTGGAACCCAGCAGGTCGGCAAGTGCTGATTTTGAGCTCACAAGAATAATCCCCAGGAATCGAGAGTAAAACCGCCAACATGTTCAGCGAGATGCCAGGTTCTGCAGCACTCAACGTCTCTTCAGCCCGTGCCTTTCCTGTCCACTCGCAATTCCATGGGTCCGGCACGATCCCCCTCCTCCAGGGCCGTATTCCTCGGCCAGTGCGGTACTTGAGAGGGTTACTGCTCACACGTGTAGCAGGAGTCTTTGAGAGAGCAGTGACACCCTTCCTGGGGGCCCCAAGCAGCGCCTCTCCGGCTTCCTCCATCCGTCCCGGCTTCTGATGGCAAAACTTGGCACCCGAGCGTTTCCCTTGGCTAAAGCTACCCGGGCAGTGGCTAATCTCTTCTAATGCGGCCATAATCCCATTCATGAAAACAACCCCACGGCTACAAAGTTAAAGGGATGAAAAGATTTATCCAGTCCCCGCTGGGTGAGCTTGCTGGGGTTTGCTACCTTTCTCCACGCCGCCCACCCTTGAGCGCAGCACGCCGTTGTTTCTTCACGTCATATTTGTGCCCAGCCTGCCTTTTTCCCTGACGCCAGTGCGGCACCCCTTGTCTCTCTGCATGAGCAAAGGGCTTTGTCGGTCAGACACTCAGTTTAGGAATGCAGGAAGCTGCCTGACAGAGTCAGTCCCTCGGCCCGTCTAGCCCCATATGGTCAACACCGGCAGGCAGCCGCAGTGCTCCAGGGTTCGGGGTAGGAGGTTTCCCAGCCCTGCCTGGAGGTGCTGCTGGGGACTGAGTCTGAGACCTGTGGCAGGCAGAGCGGGGGCTACACCCCTGGACAAGGCCCCCGACTCACTGAACATCAAGGGTGGTCTAGATTTGTAACCTACTCACTCCTCTTTCTTGTATATTTATTTATTTAAACCGTTTTTATGCCGCCCCATTTGCAAAAAGCCTCGGGGCGGCTTACAACACCTTTCCTTCCAAGGAACTCAAGGCAGCATACAGAATTCTCCTCTCAATCTTAGCCTCACAACCGCAACTGTCTCCCCCCCCCCCCCCCCCCTTGTTAGGGTTGGTCAACCCCGGCCCCCCCCCCCCGTCTTCCGCCAGTTGGACCCTGGCTAACTCTTATGGGGTGGGGCAAAGCGTGTATTCTGCACATGTTGGGCACACGCTAAGATGCACCTTCAGCATCATCGTCACATGATCTAGACTATTTCGCAGGATGGAAGCTCACCCCTCCCCAGTTTATCCTTCTATGAGGCTAGTCCTCACTGTCACCCTCTCCAAAAGCGGACGAATCTGGGTGGATTTAGCCTAGGGAAGAAAAAAGTTAGGAGGAGGGAAGTGCACAGCTGCCAGCGAGTTAAAAGGCTGCAGAGAGAAGGTTGCTGTGGCCCCGGGACGCCACGGTGCATTTTAACTTGGGGGTGGGGGGGAATTGGCCCAAAGGCTGTCCAAGGACTGAGGGAAGACGCTGGAGTGGCTCCCCACGCAGGAAAGCATTCAGTGCTGGAAGCCGTGCGTGCTGCAAGGTGGGGGGGGGGGGTCAAGAGGGTGCCCAACGGCTCCTTCCCCCAGCCCCGCTTGGGGTGCGTCGGAGCCTGAGGCGGCGATGCGGGGCCTTGGATCGCCCTGGCCCCCCGGGGCTGCGCAGAGAGCCCCGC